GAACTATACTATATATATATTTAAAATTTTTTTATAAAAAATTTTATAAAAGTACAAATAATTTTTTATTATTATATAAAAAAAATTATAAAATAATTATTATTTTTGATTTTTAAAAATATTTTAAATACATTAATTTATTTAATTTATTTTTTAACAATATATAAATTTTAAATAAAATAATGACTTTAAATTTATTTGTATAATAATAAAAGAAAAAAATGATTAATTATATTATAATTATTATAATTATTTTTTATAGTTTGCAAAATTTTAATTAAAAAATTTTTTTTATTAATTATAAATTAAGATTTTAAGAAGTTATAAGTTTATTAAATTGTATGTTATAGTTTTTAATTAATATTTTAAATATTAAAATTATATTAAAAATATTTATACCTGGTTAAGAACTTTATTTAATATTTTAAATAAAATTATAATTATTATCTTATAAAAAATTTTTTATAAAATAATGATGTAATAATTATATAGAATTATAAAGTTTTTTAATTAATTTACTGACTTAAACTTGATAAAAAATAAAAAAAATTAATTAATTAAAATCATATACGTAATTAATTAATATATATCAATATAATAAACAACCGTTTGATTACCGTATTTAAATAGCAAATCGTTATATTTAGATGGCGTATTTCTATTTATCACAGGCCATTTATTCTCATTTATTTCTCGAATAATGTCTGACGACGAATATGGAGGTTTTGGAAATAACGAAGACTTTGGTGGGTGAGTTCCACAATAACTTCTCGAATTTTGTTTTGGAACTTACTAATAGTTTTCTTTTTTGCTTTACGTAGACATGATTACGAATTAGTTAGTATACTACGCTTATTTATTTATATTGTTAATAAGTACATTTAGAACAATCTCCTGGAATGTCAATAGGAAGATGAATACGAACCCGAAATTGGAGACGATGAATACGATGTGAATCTTCAAAACGGTTACACTGACGAGCAGAGAGAAGAGGGAGGTGTTGACATACAAGGAGGAGTTGGGATTATTTCAAACGGTGTAGGCGATGGAATGGATGTAGATAAAACAGAAAAGGTTGTTCAAGAAAAAGAGAGAGTTACTACTCCATATATGACAAAATATGAAAAAGCTAGAATATTAGGAACCAGGGCTTTACAAATTAGGTAAAAAACTTACCTTTCAAAGATAATATGATTCGATCAAGTTATTCATGATAATAATTTTCATAAGCATGAACGCGCCTATTCTTGTGGATCGAGATAATGAGATTGATCCCCTTGAAATTGCGAGGAAAGAACTTCGTCAAAAGAAGATTCCCCTGATGGTTCGAAGATTTCTTCCAGATGGGAGTTATGAAGACTGGCACGTTAGAGAGTTGATCATACCGGATGATGAAGCTGCCGCGAAACAATTAATTCACTGATAATATTAGAATATTGTGAATATCTTTATATTTTCATTATTTGAATAGCAATTAATAATTAGATACATCAACAGTTATTTCGAATTATATTTGTCAAAATATTAAGTCAGGTTGCATAGGCATTGATTAAAAATCCATTCTTGTAAAAAAATGAATAGGATAATAGACAAAACCTAGTAGAATACGTATTAGGGGACTTCATTTATCGAGGATCACGAAGTTTCGATAATTATTTTTTGAAAGTCACACACGAACTTCAACATCAGTATATTTAAAACTATAAGAGATAATAAGAGAGTGTGTTAATTCTAAATAATTCATTAAAATTTATAGCCGTCATCATTTAATTAAAAAATATTTATTGTTTATAAAAAGATTTATATTAGCATTTATTTATATAAAATCTTTTTTTGATTTAAAAGAAATATTTTAAAAAAATCCATTAATATGTTGGCTTGGCTTACCTGGAAAGATTATATCAGATACAGTAAGTATATCAAGAAAAAAAACAAACTAAAAATTTTTAATTTATTTAATAAATGTATATATAATATTTAAATTTATTTGAATAGAAAAAAATCATAAATATATATTAAATTAATTTTTTTTTATTAAGCTTTATGTATTTGGAATCAAGCTTATTATTTAGAAAGAAAAAACATAGTATATTAATTTGAAAAATATATTTTAAAGGGGGTTCTTTATATTTAAAAAGTCATAAAATTTTTTATATAAATTAAAATTTGAATAAAAATAATATTACAATTATCACAACTCTATAGCCTTTCTGTTTAGAAATCTTATAAAATATCTCAAAAATATAGTAATTTATATAACAAATATATTAGATATTAAATTTGCCAATCAACTATTTAGATTTAACAATTTTATTAAGCCAAACTTTTCTAATTTCTTCAATTTTAAAAGCTTATATAAATTAATATTTAATTTTGAATATTTGTTTTGGCTTGTTAATTCAATTTATATAATTATTAAAACTTATATAAATCAAGCTTAAAGAAAACATTATTCAAAAGCAAATATTATATTATTAATTAATTAATTTAATTAATAAATTTTATAAAAATTTTATAAAAAAATTATTTTTTAATCTATAAATATTTTAGATAAATTTGTTTAAAAAATAATAAAAATATATTTATAATTTGTTTTTTTAAAATTTTAAAATATTCAAATAAAATTTTATTGTTGTTTTTTTTTTATTGCAAACAAGTATAAATATATGATTTTATTAATTATTAAGAATTTAATCAATATATTAAAAATCTATTTAAATTAATAATAACCTATTGCATATAAATTTCTAAAACAATATTACACTACATAAGTAATATCACAGTAGAAATGGTTTATAAATGGCTTATGCTTGTTCATAAACAGCTATGTTATTATAAATTTTGAAAAAATTATTTATATAACTATTGTAAACATTAGAAAAATAAAATTTGTGGCTAGTGACAGTTGACCTATATACCTTAGTTGCAAACACCTATATTCAAAACTATCTTAACTTTTTTAAATATATTACTAAACTAATCCAAAACTATACTAATTTTATTTCCTCCAACACTGAGTAGGTAAACATAGCTGCTCAGTGCCTCTTGACAAGATATATTGTTTTAAAATTTATTTTTAATATTAGTTATTTAGTTTTTGTAAGCAAACTAACATTAAACTCACTGTACTTACAAATAAGAAATATTGTTTCTTTTACAATATATACTTTTAATATATAAATCAAATAAAGAAATGATGTTTACTTATTAAAAAAAAAAAATTGTGGCTAGTATAAATATTGTGAAAATAATTTATATAACTGGAGTAGATATTGAGAAAGCAATTTATATAATTAAAGAAAATAGTAAAAGAATGATTTTTATAGTAATAATAAATATTGTATGAGAAAAAATATGAGTTAGGATTTTAAAGATATAACCTAAATCTATAAAACCATAAAACTGCTAAGATTAAATTATTAGGATTTTAATAATACAGCCTGGATCTATATAGCTATACAATAGTTAAGTTAGAATTTGTTAAGGTTTTGTGATGTTATCTGGATCCACAAAACCATATGACAACTTGATTTGATATATAGTTGTATTGATCATTAGGTTGTTTTGATTTTAATTGTTAGATATTGTCTAATTGGTACAAGTAAATATATCAATTAATTAATAGGATAAGCTGAGTTTGATTTTTTGTTATATAATGGGATTGAGCAGCTTGTGAGATATAACAATATGAAATATTTGATAGTAAAGGGCAGAATAAACAATACAAATAACTTAATATATTTGTATAAAGATTTTGATAAGTAATTTAAGAAGTTGATAATATTAAAAAAAATAATTATAATAATATTATAAAGAGAGAAAGAATATAAAGAAAAAGTTATAAGTTTCTATGGGAACTTAGCGTACTGGTATAAGGACTAGTACCTCTGTAAGGAGATTGCAAGTTTAATACTGGGTGACGGCAGTACATGCCTATTGGACCAATTTACAGGGGTTGTTGTGATAAGCATCAGTTACTTAACTACCATGACACTGTCATCTATAAAGGCCAGTATAAAATATAGACAAGAAACTTGTTATTAGATAGTCCCTGACCAGTGACAACCTGGATTCAGATCTATTATAAAAACATGAGGAACTGTCTCCTATAGGAGGTCCAGAGTGTTGAGAAAAATTATGGGGTCGAATCTCATAGTAGTACTGACACCTTAGAAGTAAGGCTGATATGATTATTCTGGTAAGTCTTAGTTGCCTAACTACTAGGCATATTAAAGGTGGCTATAAAAATACCTGGTGGTAAAACGATTCTGCATCTTCTTCCATAGGAAGAAAGTAACTCCCTCACTAAAAAAATTACTCTTTCTGCTGATCCTTTTGCCAACCCAAAAAACAGACATTCTCAAAACCTTTTTGTTTTTATGATAATAAAGTCTATATACTTTTCTTAACAACACTGGTTCCTTAATTAGCAGAGCAAGCAGAAGCTACCACTTGTTTTATTTTTCCTTTTCAAAACACTTTTCTTGTTTATTTTGGTAACTAAATACAAGAAACCTACCTAAAAGGTCTACGGCAAGAACAC